TGTTCCCCCATACTCCACCAATAACCAATTAGAAAATGTAATAGGAAAAAGAAAGGAGTGAAATTTCTGGGTCAAAAATCCTCGAAAGCAGTGGTTCTCAAACTTCAGGCAATGTCAGAATTCCCTGGAGGGCTTGTTAAAATGCATTTTCCAACCAGCAGGTCCAGACTGGCACCTGGGAATTTATATTTTTTCAAGCTCTAGGTGAGGCTGATACTGCTGGTCTTGAAACTCTGCTTTGAGTAGCAAGTTTCTGAAAGTATGATTCCTGCTTCCACTGTGCCTATTCCCCAAAAGGCTTTGCTGTTCTTTGCTGTTTTCCCAGTTGGATGGGTGAAGAATCTTATTTTGTGGTTTTAATTTGCATCTCTTTAATTATGAATGAGGCTGAGCCTCTTCCCACGTGTTTGGTCTTGGCCTTGATTTTAATGCCACCAGATGTTAAAGGGACAGCTATGGGTTGAAGCGAACTCACATCACCAGATGGCAGCGCCGTCCCCCATTGAGTTCTGCCTACCCCTCCAGCTGTGAATTCCCTTTTATAGTGAGAAGGGTCCTTGAAGGCCCTGCAGGCCAGTCCCTGCCTCCAGGAAGGCTCTATGCCATCCATCCAACCGGGAGCCGGGAGACAGTACTCACAGCCTGCCTAAGGGCATTTTCCAACATTGAACTATCTTTTTGGTGGGAAAAGCAAAGAATTTGAAACCAGAAAACCTAGTATCTCAAGCCACGACATCTGCTGAAAATGCAAAGTGACGCCAGATGGGCAAGGAAGTTGAATTGCAGCAGTGCTAGTATCTCAAGCAAGGGCCTTATTACATATTTAAAGCAATGCTTTGACACCCGGGAAATAGCAAGATGGATCGGAGGAAGCTAGAGAGCCACCCTGTGTGAGGTGGGGGTTTCCATGCCATTTAAATTGTGCAGTTTTAGCAATGTATCCTGGCACGTTTGTTAATAAAGACACAGAGCCGAGGCAACACATCGTGTTTTTGTTTCAGCCCATTGTCTATCTCCAGAGAAATGTTATTGGAATCATATTGCATTTTCAGGTCCGATGAAGCTGCAGTAATATAAGCATTTTATGCAAATGTGTTGTGGTGGAAAGAATGGCATGTCATGTGCCATAAATCTTAAAGTAACCGCAGCCCTTGTTACTCCTCAGTTTTAACACATCCTGATAGGAGGCAATTATTTCGGACCAACGAACTGCCTTTCACAGAAGTTTGTCTCTGCTTGAAGCTACAGCCTGTTTACTAGTACAGATTTATGTGGTCTGATAACAGGCCAGCACAGGTGGCCATGAGCATGGCCATGAAAGGAGATGAAGGCTTGCCCATTCACCATCCACATATGCATGCCTCCATCCCTTCATCCCTCCATTCTTCACCCCATCCCTCCACCTCTCCATCCCTCTATCCCTCCATTCACCCATCTATCTGTCCACACGTTCTTCCATCCATGCCTCCCTCCACCCCTTCCTCCATCTTTCCATCAATCCCTCTATTCCTCCATCCATCGCCCCATCCATGCACCTCTCCATCCCTCTATCTCTCCATTTCCCCATTTATCTGTCCATATATTCTTGCATTCATACAGCCCTCCATCCTTCCTCCATCTATCCATCCATCCCTCCATCCATTGCCCATCCCTCCACCTCTCCATCCCTCTATTCTTCCATTTATCCATCTATCTGTCCATACATTCTTGCATCCATGCACCCTTCCATCCCTTCCTCTATCTATTGATCCCTTCCATCCATCCATCCATCCATTCATCCATTCCTCCATCTTCTTTCCCTCCATCCATCTATTCCTTCATCCATCCCTTCATCCAGCCATCCCTTTGTCCTTCTGGGAGATGGAATCAGGTCATGGAATAAAGGGCTCTGGCCTAAGGCTCCAGGATTAGAGCAGCCGAGATAGAGTCTTAGCTCTGCCACTTATTACCTGGGTGATCCGGGACAGAGGTCTTAACCTCTCTCAGTTTCCGTTTCCTCATCAGCAGTTGTCAGAATCAAAATGGAGCCCACACTGACAAAGCTGGAGAAGACCATGAAGAGAGGGTTCTTATGCATAAATGCCTGATAACAGAAACTGTCCCAAAGACTGCAAAAAACACAACCTTGTACCAAGGTCATTGCAACCTTACAGAAGAGATACCTTCTGCAGGGACACCTGCCCAGACACTGCCTATGCGTCCTGGCATCACCCTTGTTATTGGTCCTTGTAGTCAAGGGTAAACATTTCAGAACAATGATGTCATCCTCCTGATTTTATTTACTTTTCCTTTAAGACTCTTTGTCTTCCTTTCCCTTCGGCATATGCACCTTGTTGACTACAGCATGCGTGCTCCCGTGGCAGTGCCCTATTCCCGGATAAATATCTTTTTCTTCTAGAGAGCTGTTCTCTGTTTGTTTTTTAGGTTGATGGCATAACAGACGACAATGGCTGTTGGGAGGATCAAGTGGGGAAATGCATGTCAAATGCCTAGCACAGTGCTCAGCTTCCTGCATTCTCTGTGCACTTAACCCATTACAACGTTTGTTCGGCAATGTAGCTACAGCAAAGCCACTGGGTGCCCGCTCCTTAGAAGACCTGGGTGAGAAGAACCAACTGAGAGTGGAGGCAGGAGTGGGGAGTGTTGGGGGTGTGGGGATGCCCTGCAGACTGGAAACGGCTCTGCAGGCTCTCGGAATGGGGTCTGTCTCTCTGCTATGTCTGTGGTCCTCTCTGGACATTGCCCACAAAGAGTTTGCAGGGATCTTTCAAGAGACCAGTCACTCTCCAGGTCTCTGTTCTACCCCACCAGCATCCCTCACTTGGAGATCTGAGACACCTTCCCAGGGTGTGGAAAAAGAGACACCACTACCCCAAGGCGGTCTCTGCTTTGACCTGGGGCCGGGGCCTTAACCCTCTCGGTTTCAGCTTTTGTTTGTTTGTTTTGAGACAGAATCTTGCTCTGTGGCCCAGGCTAGAGTGCAATGGCACAATCTCAGCTCACTGCAACTTCTGCCTTCTTGATTCAAGTGATTCTCCTGCCTCAGCCTCCCTAGTAGCTGAGATTACAAGTGTGCGCCACCATGCCTGCTAATTTTTGTATTTTTAATAGAAATAGGTGGGTCTCAAACTCCTGGCTTCAAGTGATCCACCTGCCTCAGCCTCCCAAAGTGCTGCGATTACAGGTGTGAGCCACGCCCAACCCTCAGTTTCACTTTCCTTATCAGCATCGAGATGCTGCTGCACCTGCCTTGCTGTTCTCCAACGCCCCTCCCACCCCTGCCTGAGCTCACCCTGGCCCTGGGACCAAAGGGGCAGCCCTTGGCATATTTTACCCCACCTGGAGATATTTATTGGCCACTTCATATATGAAGGACACAGGGTGGGCAGCAGGGATGACTCAGAGGTGGACAAGACCAACCCTTTCCTGCCAGGAGCCAGCAGTCCCACAGGAATGGGAGAGGTGGCCCAGGTGACTGTGACCTCTCAGGTGTTTGCCTCGTGCTGGAGGGGCGGTCAGGGGAGTGGAGCCTTGAAGGAAGGATTGGTTTTCCCTTCTCCACCCACGAGGAAGTAGAGATGCCTGGTGTTCCAGGGCATGGCCCCACCCTGACCTTATTCGCTGTCCCCTTCTGGCTCCACCACCAAAATTGAGGACCATGGGAATTTCGTATAAATGGGATCTGGCAGTGTGAAGCTTTTGTGCCTGGGCTTTCACTGGGTGAGTTTTTGAGGTCCGTTGGCATTGCAGGGCGTGGCATCGTGTGGATTCATCATGTTTGGTTTATCTATTTGTCAGTTGCCTTCCTTCAACCTTTCGGCTATTTTGAAAAGTTGTTGTCACCATTTCTTAAAATGTGACTGATGCTTCATTGTCTGACTTCTCTGCTGGACGGAAAGCTTCAGGGGGCCGGGGTTGGGAGGGGCTGGTTTTATTGCTGTCGTATCTCTTGGGCTCACAGGTTGTAACAGGCAGGTCCCAGGGGATGCAGGTGGGCCAGGTGAGAGGAGACACCCCCATCATCATTGCAGAATGATCCGACTCCTGCCCGGCACACCCCCTGCCGATCCTCCCCCTGCTAAGGAAGTAACAGCCTCCCTGCCCCTCTCCTCCAGCCTTCTCCTCTGCTCCCTGCTCCCTGCTCCTTGGGGTTCCTGGAATAAAGTCAAAGGAGCCAGCAACAGGGCAGGCATCCATCTGCTCGCTCTCTCCAACCAGCTCTTCATGAACTTTTGCCAGGAGTACAGACCCGAAAGGGCATCAATTAACTCCCCACCCACCCACAGACATCGCTGCAGCTGGAGAACCATTGCATGTGGAAAGAGTGAATCTGCAAATCTGAGCAATATAAAAAGGCATGTGAGGTTCTCAGGAGGAAAACCGTGGTTGGTGTGGTTTGTAGCCTTTAGAGGCATGAGGAAAAAATGGCTGCAGCCTGGACCCCGGTCCATGTGAGGAAGCCGAGGAGCTTTCCTTTAGCAGTCTTGCTGATGTGGTATTTTATAAAAATCAACACCACATTACCATGGATGGATGCGTCTATTCCAGGTAGAGGAGGCTGCTGTCTGGGAGACATGTGGCAGCTGTAGGCTCTGAAAGTTGGCTGCTTAGCTCCCATTCGTGGGCATTGTCTGAGGACCAGGCACGTGGGGGTTCTGAGGGCATAAGGGAGCTCTCCATTTAGGAGAGACCAGGCGATGAGCAGACAGCATCCCTAGAGGCTGTGAGACAGATGCTTCCACCTGACGTCCCACTCATGCCAAGGATTCTGATGGGCAAGTGCTTCCCACTTTGCAGACAAAGAGACTGAGACTGGGAGTGGAGAAGTGAGCACCCAGCCCACTCAGCTCCCCAGGGCCAGAGCAGCCAGAATGGGTGCCAAAAAAAAAAAAAATAGAAGGAATAAGACCTGCTATTTCATACCACAATAGGGCGACTATAGTTAATAATACATTAATTACACATTTTATATTTTTTTATTTATTTACTTTTTTCTTCAGCCACAGGGCCTTTATTCGTACAGCAGAAACAGTGGGACCGTGTTCAGAGCACTGCTGGGCAGGAGAGAGAAGGTAGGAACCGTATGACCACGCAAGTTGTTGTCCCTACAGTCTATTTGCTCATCTGGAACACAGAGTAGTGGTCCTCTAAAACTCGCAGGGCTGGGGGTCGCCATTATTATCAATGGCGTCGCTATAAAGCTTTGTAAACCTGAACGCAAGGGTCCCTGCAACTTGGGGGGTGACAGCCCGGATCTAAGTACACGGCCCCTTCCTCCCACCCCTCCCAAGGACTCTCATCCTCCCCTGGACCTGCCTTTCTGGAGCTCAGAGCCCTCTCTGGCCTCCAGGGGCCGGAGGAATGGGTTTGGCTGAGGTCGGGGGCTTGGGTCTGGGATGCATTCCAACCTCTGGCTCCAAGCCTCTGCCTGGGGCCCCACCTGGGAAAATGGCTCCTCTAAGTCACCTCCAGCCTAAAGCTCGTCCTCTTCCACCTCTCGGGTGCAAACTGTCCCTCCCACTGCAACCGCAGGTCCCCCACCAGCCACACAGACGGCCACGCTAAGCCCCAGCAAAAAAACCTGGGCTCTAATTGCACATTTTAAAATAATTTACAGAGCGTCACTGGATTGTGTGTCACTCAAAAACTAAATGCTTGAGGGGATGGATACGCCACTCTCCGTGGTGTGCTCGTTTCATGTTGCATGCCTGTATCAAACATCTCATGTACCCCACAAATGTATACACCAACCATGTACCCAGAAAAATTAAAAATAAAAATAAGGCCAGGTGTGGTGGCTCATGCCTGTAATCCCAACACTTTGGGAGGTCGAGGCAGGCGGATCATTTGAGGTCAGGTGTTTGAGACCAGCTTGGTCAACATAGCAAAACCTCCTCTCTACTAAAAATACAAAAAATTAGCCAGGCGTGGTGGCACACACCTGTAGTCCCAGCTACTCGGGAGGCTGAGCACAAGAATTGCTGTAACCCAGGAGGCAGAGGCTGCAGTGAGCTGAGATCATGCCACTGCCCTCTAGCCTGAGCGACAGAGTAAGACTCTGTCTCAAAAAAAATAAAAAATAAAAATAAATTTAAAAAGAAAAGAAAAGAAACCCTCCAAAAGTTCTGAGCTCCACAGACTCTGGCATGTCCTCCCTGGAAGGAAGGGACAAGATTTTCCCTTTCTGAGCCCTGAAACAGCTAGGTTGAACACTCACACCCCAGGACCAGGGTCTGAGATGTCTGGGTGACTGTCTACTGTGGCATGACCTTGTGGCAGATCCCGAGGCACGAGAAAGCCTACCCCGCTCCTGCCACATCAGGCCACTGGGATGGGGAGCTCTAGGCAGTCCCTGTCCCTCCAGGCTGCGGCTTGGTGAGGGGCAAAGGCTCTTTCCCTGCAATAATTAGCAGCACAACGTGCTGTCTGCCTCGTGGGCACGTGGAGCATATATAAATTACCCCGCCAGGGCGATTAACTGTTTGTCCAGGCTAATTGTCAGTATTAAATCTTGCTCAGTCACAGTTTTAAAGCTTAATTTAAATTCTCTATCTTTAAGAAATCCATACTCCCTCCCACCACAGGAGAAAAAATAGATTTAATGGGTTTAGTTCATTTCCGTTTGTAGCAACCCAAGTTATAATTAGACGTGTGCAAAGCGGATGTTTCGGCGGCCAGGCTCTTGCAGACCCGCTCCTCTGCTTCCCAGCAGGGCTGGTCCTAGTGGCGAGTTCCCTTGTCTTTGCTGCCCTGGATACACTTCTGAATTAAGAGTTCTTACTCAGAGACCCCTGTGCCTCTGTGGCAGCCCCTGCAGATTACGGCATTAATCTTGTCTGTGTGCTTAGAGGTGGAGAAAGGGCCAGGCGCAGTGGCTCACACTTACAATCCCAGCACTTTGGGAGGCCGAGGTGGGCAGATCATGAGGGCAAGAGATGGAGACCATGGTGAAACCCAGTCTCTACTAAAAAATACAAAAATCTGCTGGGCGTGGTGGCGCATGCCTGTGGTCCCAGCTGCTCGGGAGGCTGAGGCAGGAGAATTGCTTGAACTCAGGAGGCAGAGGTTGCAGTGAGCCAAGATTGCACCATTGCACTCCAGCCTGGTGCCTGGAGACAGAGTAAGACTCTGTCTAAAAAAAAAAAAAAAAAAAAAAAAAAAAGGTGGAGAAAGAATTCATCCTCAAGTGTGGGAAGGCAGGAGAAAGCAGCCAGGAAACCCCTCTGCCCAGGGGGCAAGAGCTCGGGGGAGCTATGGAAGGGAGGTGGGTAGGGGGCTTCCTGTTGTGCCTTCCTGAGACCACTGCCCCACCATGTGCCCCCTCTTCCTGAAGCCTGATGCTTCCCCTCCAGTTTATCAGGAGTGAGGACCCCTCCTTCTTCTTTCTGTTCCCAGATACCCACTTAGAAGCAGATTGGAGCCGCCCCAATGTTAAGCCAGGAAAATGCAGACAACTAAGGCATAGAAATAGAGGATGCAACTGAAGGAAGCTACTGAAAGCCCCCACGTTCATCCCCCTTAATGTCCTAGAGGAAACTGAGACCCGGAGAGAGATGTGACTTGCCCGAGGGCCTGGGTTGCAGCTGAATCCCAGGGGTCTCGGCACCATTACCTTGCTATATGTTCATGGTCAGGGTGAGGTGCAAATCGTTCCAGGGACACGCTTGAAGATGAACCACTCATCGAACTTCCTAATTCTATGCGTCATCAACCCCGGCACACGTAGGTTTACACCCATTGTCCCTCGCTGGGCTTGCACCATGCGGAGGGTGGCCTGGGAGAGCAGAGATGGTAGTAAGGGCAGTTAGAAGTGAAGGTTAGAGAGAGGAGACTGTGCCCAGGGTAGCAGCAGGAGGCATGGAAAAGACGGATGCATTGTGAGGGGTGGCAGCATTGGAACCAGGGCTGGGGCCACCCAGACCCAGACACTGGAGAGGACAAGAGAAGAGTCAGTGACAACTCCAGGGTCTGCACCCGAGGGGTCGAGAAAGCAGGTGGTAGCAGTGACCGCCCAGGAGTCTGAGGAGGGGGCTTGTTAAGTGGGGAAGGCTAGCTTCAGGCTGGGTGTGCTGGCTGCAGGGAACAGCAGCTGTGCAGACCTCTCCCCTGGGCCCTGTGCTCCTGAAAGGTGGGGCCCTGCACGCCAGCTCCATCTTGTTGTCCCTATCGCCGTCACAGCAGCCTGCGACGGCCCCACACTTAGCAATTGTCAAAGGATTGGCGGACAGTCCAATGGGAGCTGAGGCTGGAGCTGGGGCCAGGAGCAACAGGGTCATTAGGCTCACATGTTGAAGGCGCGGCCCTCCCACACCGATGCCCTCAGCCTGGGGCATGTCCACGGGAGAGGCAGGACTGAGTATAGGGCTGCATGACAGGGAGCAGGAAAGCAGAAGATGAGGAGGGTGCAGAGCCACACACGGGGGTCAGGGTGTGTGGAGAAGGGGTGGTCAGTGAGGTCTACGTGACTGAGACAAGGAGGCTGAAGCCAAGGACAGGAATTTGGATTGGGATGTGGAGTATTGTGACCGTGGGTGCCCTTAGGGCTGCTGACAGAGTCGGCATGCATTTAGGGTGACCAAGGGTAGACACAGAATTGTTGGGGTTTGGGAAAACACTGGGAAAAAAACGGAATGCCCTTCTGTTGGAAAAGCTAGAGTCAGATGGAGCAGGCACAGGATGATGGTTTGGGGGTGAGAGCATCAGGTGGAAACTCCCTTGGAATGCGGGAGGGGGACAGGTGGGGTGCCGAGAGGAGAGTCTGGGAGGCTGGCAGGGCTGGGTCAGGCAGCCACCAGGAGGCTGTGAGGACCACGGGTGTTTCTCAGAAAGAAGCGAGGAGGAGGGACGTGAGAGCTCACTCCTGCCAGGCTCTGGGCACCTCCACCTGCCCAGAGTGAAGACGCAGCAGTGAGATGGGAATGGGCGCTTGGTAAAGGGGAAACACGGGGAGGCTGAGAGGATCACAGTCAACGAACACGTATCTTGTATGTCACTATGTGTGTTTATTTTGTAAGTTATAAGTTACTGTAGTCTTACAATAAAGTAAGCTGGAAAAATGTTATTAAGAAAATGATAAGGGAGAGAAAATATATTTACTACTCGAGAGGTGGAAGCATATCATCATAAAGGTCTTCACATCAAGGAGGCTGAAGAGGAGGACGAGGAGGGGTAGGTCTTGCTATCTCGGGGTGGCAGAGGTGGAAGGAAATCTGCAGAGTGGACTCATGCCGTTCAAACCCATGCTGTTCAAGGGTCAGCAGGAGCCGAGGAAGGTGCTGTCTTTCCCCCAAGGCCCAGGGTTTTCTTTGCAGTACACCTCGAGATTCAGCCTCTGGAGAAGGGGGAGGCGAGGCCAAGCTAGTCTCATGTCAGGGAGGTGTTTGGGCCTCAGGGCATGAGTCACCTGCCCTAGTTTTTTTTTTGCTTTTGTTTTTTGTAAAAGGCCTGCTGTTGGGTGGATTCACATTTTTGGTATCAGCCTGGGAGATCCCGAGTGCAGGATGTGGTCCAGTCCCTCCGGTCCCTGTTCTGCTACTAAAAGCCCTCACGTTCATCCCCCTTAATGTCCTAGAGGAAACTGAGACCCGGAGAGAGACGTGACTTGCCCGAGGGCCTGGGTTGCAGCTGAATCCCAGGGGTCTCGGCACCATTACCTTGCTATATGTTCATGGTCAGGGTGAGGTGCAAATCTTCGTTCCAGGGACACGCTTGAAGATGAACCACTCATCGAACTTCCTAATTCTATGCGTCATCAACCCCGGCACACGTAGGTTTACACCCATTGTCCCTCGCTGGGTTTGCACCATGCGGAGGGTGGTCTGGGAGAGCAGAGATGGCAGTAAGGGCAGTTAGAAGTGAAGGTTGGAGAGAGGAGACTGCACATGCACCCATCTAACCTCCTTCAAAGTGCTTGCCCTTCTGACACCCGATGCTCAGCAGGACCCAACTTAAGACACACAGGATTATTTCTGCAGGTCCCTCGAGCTCAGAGTCACCCAAATGTGAGCCGGAGTGAATGCCACCAAGCGGTCCCAGCAACACAGACTGCCTCAGTGTGACTGGAAATTTCACTCCCCTACTGACGGAGGAGCATGGGAGTGCTCACGCTTGTTTTCCTCAGTGAGCCAAAGAACGCCATGTGGTCCTATGACAGCTGCCCTGTCATGGTGGGAGGTTAGAAGACGAACTTTGCAACCACTCATCTTGACTTCCCAACCTGCAAGAGAGCGTCACACCAGGACCAGGAGAACAGTTCCTGGGACCTTTCTCTTTCCACGTGTTTCATCTCACACCACTGCCCCTGCTCCTGTGGACTGCAGGATTTGAACCCCTGACCCTAGGGCTGGGACCAATTTGCTCTGCTGCCAGTCCCATCACTCCTGGCCCAGGGACACATGGATGGGGATGCAGATGGGTGCTGCCTGGCCACAAATGACCCCCAGAGCAGGAGCAGAGGAAGGTTTTGCAGTGGGGCAGCCCCAAGGTGCCAGTGGAGGGAAAAGTGACCGCCCGGTCAATAGACAGATGCATTATTTGTCCTTAAACCTCTGCACAGAATCCTGGGTCAGCTGGGGGGCTCTCAGGCTGGGCTTTACCAGACCCAAGAGCAAGGCCCCTGGGCTGCTCCCATGTGGAACGCACACTAAGACATACTCCTTCATCTGTTCTCTAGCCTTTCAGAGAATAACAAAAAATCAAACCTGTTCTCATCTCTATCACAGCGCACATTGAAGATGACAGCGTTTCTCATTTTCTCAACTCTCTCTGAAAATACGTGAAATTAGGGGAAATGAAGAGAAGAAACTGAAATAACAAGTGAGGCTGGAGAAGAACCAGCATCAGAAACAGAGGTGCCTGGAGAAGGTGCACGGTGGGTTGTGGGAGGAGGAGGAGAGGGAATGCAGGGGGACCCAGGAGCATGAAGAGCTCTGTCTGGGTGGGTGCCCTTCCTGGTCTTGTTGGAGATGGATCTTGTCAGCCTCCTGGAGGAAGGGAAGAGGATGCTCCACTTTCCCGGGGATGCTGGGACACAGAACCACAAACCGGGCAGCTTAAAGTGACAGACATTTTCCCTCCTCTAGTTCTGGAAGCCAGAAGTAAGAAACTGAGGTCCCCTTGGCCGAGCTGGTTCCCACTGAGGCTCCGAGGGAGAACCTGTCCCAGGCCCCTCTTGCAGATCTGGGGCTCCCGGCCACCCTGGGCGTGCGTCCCTCACATGGTTTCAATCTCTGCTGCTTCTCCACCTGGATTTGCCCGAGTGTCTCTGGGCCTTCAATTCTGTTTCTCACCAGGACGCCTCACTGGACTTAGGACCCACCCTGATCCAGGACGACCTCATCTCCATCCTCACCTTAATCACATCTGCAAAGACCCTGCTCCCACAAGGCTGCGTTCTCAGGTTCCAGGAGGACATGAACTCACAGGGTCACGTATCAGCCCAGAATGGGATGAGCTGGAGTAGAGCCAGGATCCCGGAAGTGGGGGGGGGGGGCTCATGGGACCCAGCAGGGATGGGTAGGGTCCCCAGGGCACCAGGGAGGCTGCTGCGCCCCGCCCCCTTCCTGGGTTCCCCTAGGGCAGCTGCTTCCGGGGCCTTCCACCCTCTCCATTCAACCATTCTCCCCTGCTGATGGGGGGCGCAGGATGGCACTTTTGATCTAACCAAGTTATTGTAAGTAAGTGATTCGGGAGCTCTTCTTCAGGCAGGTGATCAGGGATGAGCAGGCAGCTGAGAACAGAAGAGATGCTGCCACCGTGGGAGACGCCTGGGCTGGCGGAGGGGTGGGGGGAGGGTCGGGAGGGAGGATGCGGGGGGTTCTTCTGCCACAGTCATGCAGGGGAGGCGCCGCCTTTCCCTTCCCTGGGAAGCAGCGGCCACGATTTAATATGCAAAGGTGGAAAGACTGGCATTGGACGCATCGCCCCGCATGCCATATTTCAAACAAAGAATACACAACAAAGGGCCGGCCGGCGCGGGGATTTGTCAGAATTCGGCGGTGGGAGAGATTTATCTAAGCTGAGTGGAGGGGCCTGTGACCTTGGGCTTGAGAGCTTTAAAAGGAACAGGCGGCTGTTGAAGACGAACAAAGAGATGCTTGTGATTATCATTATTTAATATAATGGCCTTAAACTGTTAGGAGGGAGAATTAGGTGGCACAAGAGAATTGTTTTTTATTCCAGGAGATGTAAGAAAGATGTAATGGACAGGAAAAAGCAGGGGGGAGGCGGAGGGAGGGAGAGGCTGGAGAGCTTTCTGAGATGAAGGAGTGAAGCAGTCGAGTGAGCCCGGAGAGGCAGCAGGCGGTAAACAAGAAACGCTCCCCTCCCCTCTCCCTTCTCCTCCCTCTTCTTCTCTTCTCCCCTTCCCTCCAGCCCCCTCTCCTCCTGGCAGGTTCAGCCTCAGCCCCAAAGACAGGAGAGTAGCTGGGAAGGAGGTGACCAGCCTTGTGCCAGGAAAGGGACCAGGGAAGGAGGACAGGGCCTGGGGGACTGTCAGAGCTGTCAGAGCTGGGATCAGGATTCGGCAGGAAGGGGAGGGGGGTGGCTAGGGCTGCCTGGGCATCCTGTTCAGAGAAGCCTGGCATGGGGGAGGGGTGTGTGCTGCCCCCAGGCAGTGAGGGTCTGGGAAATGGAGGCTGGTAAGGTCCTTTCACTAGGGTCCCCAACAATGTGGATTTCGAGCCCTCCTTCCAGGGTTGGATCCTGAAAATAAATGCCAGTGCTCTGAGCTGCTGCACACAGGGGACAGTGGGGGTGGGAGGAGGTGGCTGGTGAGGGTGGGGTGGGAGGAGGTGACTGGCAGGGGTGGGGGTGGGAGGAGGTGGCTGGTGGGGGGACAGTGGGGTGGGAGGAGGTGGCTGGTGAGGGTGGGGGTGGGAGGAGGTGGCTGGCAGGGGGGACAGAGTGGGTGGGAGGAGGTGACTGGCAGGGGTGGGGTGGGAGGAGGTGGCTGGTGGGGGGGGACAGTGGGGGTGGGGGAGGTGGCTGGTTGGGCACAGTGGGGGCGGGGGAGGTGGCTGGCCAGGACCTAGGATCTGCCCCCACCTGGGTCTAGGCTTGTGCCAGGTGCCTACCGCTTCCCAGAGCCTGAGCAGAGATACAGCTGAAGCCCAGGAGCCTCCTTTCTTTCACGGGGCCTGGCTTTCTCTTTTCATTTGTAATTTTGTAATCGCTTTCTTAAAGAGCCCCCTCCCAAATCTGCTGAGGATCAGCTCCCACTAAGGCAACACCAACTAAGTGGCATTCACAACCCATCGTGGAGCAGGTGCGGTTCTCCCTGAAATGTGTGGAAGCCTGGTTCCCAGGCAGCTGGGGGAGAAGGGCACTCAGTAGAGATTCAGAGCCAGGCAGGAGTGGGAGGTGGGGTGGACAGCAGGAGCCAGCTTTGGCTGAGCAGCAGGGATGCCAGGTGGATGCCCAGGTGCCCCAGCAGGGCCCCACGCTTCCTGCCCTGGGGTGGTCAGCCATCAGGGGGTGTGTTCCCTCAGAAAGGGGAGCGGCTCCAGCCACAGGCAGACTCATGTCTGAGATCTGATAAACTAGGAGAGCAGGAGAAAACAGGAGTCAAACTGGAGAGGATGAGGCCACGCAGGAAGGAGAGGGTGTGAGCTCCTGGAGCCCTGTGCCCAGAAGCCTTGCGCTCTGGCTGATCTCAAGAGGCAGCAGAGGCTCGGAGGCTCAGGGTTAGGGGGCAGGAGTTGACTATGTGGACACAGCCCAAGCAGTTGCCAGCTGTGGGGTATTCAATGGCTGAAAGCTCCCGGAGACCCAGACACAGGTAGCATGGGGGGGGCAACACAGATCACCCTGCATGAGGGACACCCGTGCTTTAGGTGGGTGACAGCCTTGGACAGAGTCAGGGCACCTAAGCCAGCTCTGCCACCCACTTGAGGCTTGGCCCTGGGCCTCAGCTTCTTTTTCTGTAAATTGGGGGCAAGGAGAGGACCCACCATGGGCTGACATAGTGGGATGAGGTGCGTGTGTGTGTGAGGGCTCTGGACGATACAGAGGGGTCTTCTCACCTCATCCTGTCACTGCCTTCATCACTGCAAGAGCAGCCCCGTCTGTCAACCTGGAAGGAAGCCTGGTGGGGAGTCGGGGGGAGAGGGCTTCAACCACAAGGGATGCCTGCCTTTGCTTTTTCCTATATCACTAATAACCTTTCCAGGGCTCAGGTTCGAAGTTGTCAAGCACTGGCTGGAAGGTGGCTGGGTCATTGAGGACCTGGCCAACTGTCAAAATGTCTTCAGTTGGCAAGATGGTTCTTCAGGCAGAACCATCTCTCTGTCCCTCTCCTCCTCCTCTGCATACCCAGGGCATGTTCCTAAGGCTGCCGGCGAGGCTGTGACTTCAGTCCTATTTGGTATTTTAGTTCCTGTCTTGGCGATGGCCTGGTCCCTGCACAGGCATCGCCTCCAGTAGTGAACCACTCCCTGGACCAGCCGTGAAAACTCCTGCTTCTGGGGAACATCGAGTGTGCCTGCGACTCTCCCCTACTGGAACATCCTTCCTCCCATCTAACTGAGATCCTTTGTGCTGTGGCTTAAACTTATATTTTGTTCTGCTTTTACTATTCATTCACTTCTCTATTTAATGGACTCTGGTAGGAGTTTAGCAAACTCTTAATTTATCTCTGGATCCTTTGTTCCCCCTCTGCTGCAAGGGAACGAACCCCAGCCCATCAGGGCTGGTGCTCAGGCATCCTAGGTGAAGCCCTCAGCTTGGCCGTCACCCTGGCCCTGGCAGGATCCAGGCTCTGAGGTCCTCTTCCGGAGGCTGGGTCCTCTCTCTCTTTACTCCACGTCACTATTAAGAGATGATGCAGGTCTTGGAGCAAGAACCCTTTGGCTCTGGAAAAATTATGTGTGACATTTTACATATGGATCAGGTAATTAATGGACGCTCAGATTTCCTCCGCCATAACATAAAGAGGGTGAAGACGGCGCTTTAATTCCAGATAATTAAAGAGCGATCGAGTTCGAGAGTGTTGCTCCGGGAGTGCTGGCTGCTGTCATTAACACCGCGGAGCCTGCTCTGTCCTCCACGCCTCGCTGCAAACCGTGGGGCCTCCTGCTCCCCGGGGAATGCTGAGCCTGAGCAGCAGAGCCCACCGTGCTGCCGTGTAATTGAAGTGGCCACATCTGCTGCACTGGGCTTATGGAATGGGGGTGGCTGTGTGCACACGTGCACGTGTGTGTGTTGGGGGAGGAGCCCCAGAATGGCCAGTCTAGAGTGGCCGCACACAACCTTCAGAGACCTGGCCCAGGGAACATGCAGAGCTCAGGTGGCTGTCGCTGCCACCAGGGAAAACACGGGTCTCACTGTGCAGAGCAGCCTCAAGGAGGGCACAGGGTCCCCACTCTTCAGCCCCAAGAAACTGTCCCTCCTCCTGTTGGGTCACAGGAAACTCCCAGGACATCGAAGGGGGCTGTACATTTCCCCAAACTGAGCATCCCTGGGTTTTGAAAGAGAATAATTGGCCAGGCGAGGTGGCTCATACCTGTAATCCCAGCACTTTGGGAATCCCAGCACTTTGGGATGCCAAGGCGGGCAGATCACTTGAGGTCAGGAGTTCAAGACCAAGCTGGCCAACTCTGCCTCTACTAAAAATACAAAAATTAGCTGGGCAGGGTGGTGTGCACCCGTAATCCCAGCTACTTGGGAGTCTGAGGCATGAACATTGCTTGAACCTGGGAGGCAGAGGTTGTAATGAGCTGAGATGGCACCACTGCACTCTAGCCTGGGTGACAGAGCAAGACTTCATCTCAAAAAAAGGAAAGCGGCCATAATTGGTACTCTACACGATGAAGATAATCCCATTCCAGAGGTTCATCTTCTGCTGAAGTCCAGGGTTGCAGGCAGCTGCTCCTCCTGGGAGAAGGGCAGGGTGGACAGACATCCCACAGCAAAGGCGGAGCCCAGAGTCCTCAGCAGCCTCTCTGGGAGAGTGAAGCGGCAGCTAATTACGGCCGAGGGGACTGACAGGTCTTCCTGGTTCACACAGGGCATCTGTCACATTTCCTGATAAAAACCTACAGCTGGGGACTCCTGGGGCTGGGGAGGCAGAGAGGCCGGGTTAGCCTGTTGGAGGATGTGTCCTGTGCCTACCAGGCAGGGAAGAGCAGGGAACGGGAGGGAGCTCATGCAGGGGTGCGCACAGCAGGCATAGTTTTCCATGCACCCAGATCTGTGGGTACACAGGCCAGTAGATGCCATGGTGGCTTCGCTGATGGATACCTTCTATCTGCCTCATCCATCTGTCCTCTGTCTCACCTGGCTGTGGTCATTCTCCCTTTGGGCACTTAGCCACACCTGCTAGGGAAAGATCTGTAAGAAGTCTCTGGGGATGGCTGGCTGGCAATCATTGCCTTCTTTTCTCTATGGTTTTGGGACAGAGTGAAGTTTTTCCTAAAACTCTCCTTTCTCTAAGCCTGGGTTCAGGGGAGGGGTGGCCACTTATGTTGAATTTTTATTTCAACCTAGACCTCTTTCTCTCAGACTCTAGATTCTTACATCCAATTACCTACTCAACATGTCCACATGGATGGAATCTCAGATTTAAGGCCAAAACTAAATGCCTCTTCTCTACCTCCTAATCTGTTCCCTTTTCGGCTGAGAGCGCCTCCACCCTTGCAGTGCCAAGACCAAACAGCTTGGAGTCATCTTTTACTCCTCACCTTCCTGACTGGTCAGGAAATCCTTGTGGCTGTACCTTCAAAATAAATCCAGAAGCCAACATGACTGGAGAAACTGGGGAAATCCT